GCGCCGCGGCCGAGGCCGGGGTGACGTAGCCAGACCCCTCTGGATGATGATGCCGAGCTCACGGGCGCCCTCGCGGAACCTGGTGACCGCAGCCCACAACCTGTCGAGTGCGGGCACCCGGAAGTCGGCCACGCGCAGGGCAACATCGCCCATCAGCGCTCCGGGCACCACACCGAGGCCACGAATGCTTCGAAGCAGCCTGTGGAGCAGGAGCGAGACCATCGCACAGGCGTGCGCGCAGCCCGCCAGCACCCCATGCCAAGCGACCACATCGTACGAGATCGACCCGAACGCACATAGCCTCCTCGGCTGCCGATAGAGCTCCAGCAGCATCCAGACGGGGCGCAGCGGCATGCCCAGCTCCCGCGCCTCCACCAGCAGCGCCGCGGGGACGATCGCCTCGAAGAACTTCCAGGCGCCCATGAGCACCGTGAGCGCGCACTCAGCGAGCGCCGCAGAGATCTCCGTCTCAACGTTGCGGTCGAAGGCCGAGCCCGACGAGCTCCTGCCACCCCCCATGCCCCAGATCAGATGCCAGCGCCGGGGTGCACGGACAGCCAGGCTTTGGAGACACTGGCCCTCGCTCGCGACCACCGCCTGACCAACGTGCGCAGGAGCGCAATCAGACGGCACCCTCCAGTCGGCTCGGGCAGCCTGACCATCCTGCGCCAGATCCAGCCGTCGGGCCACGCCCCTACCTCCTCGCAGCACGTGAACAGGGTAGCCCACACATGGACCCCGACCTTCGACAAGTGCACCAGCGCCCGCACGCCGATGCGCGCGGGCCCAATCGCCATGGAGGTCGAGAAGGAAAGCGCAGCAGCCTGCAGCATGCCCACCCACTGTGAGCGTGGGGAGAAGCCCCCACTGGTCGATGTCGCGCGGTCTCTGAAGCTGCTCCAAATCATGGTACCTTCAGATGTTGGCCCACTCCTTCGCTTCCTTGTCGCAGGCGTTGACGGGGCTGGCGTTCCTCTCGCGTTCCGTCCGCCTGTGAAGCACCTGCTGCAGCGCACGGGGCCCGGTCGCCCTGTGCGCCCGACCAGTCCCCTTGAGGAAGCTGTCCTGGGCCCAGCGCACCCGCGCCTTCTGCTTGCTATCCATCGCCTTCCACGACGTCGCCCGCCACCCTGATGAAGTCTTCTCGCAGCAAGACGCGCACGGCTGCCAAGAGGAAGTCCTGCACCCACTGCGGCAGCATCGCGATGATCTCGCGGTGTCTCGCCACCTTGTCGAGGTAGCCGCTGGAGCAGGCCAGCTTGGAGCACTGCATCGACGAAAGCACGCGCACAGCGCCCGATGCTTACAGCAGGCGCGACGACTTGGCGACGAACGCACTGGCGCCCATCAAGCGACGCGCCCACCCCGCCGCAGCACGGCAGGCACCAGCTAGCGGGCCAGGCCGCGCCCGCCGCGCAGGCGGCCGCCACTTCGCGGGTCGCAGGGCCGTCGCCAGGCGGCCCGACCTGCCGACAAACTCGTGCATCTACTCTCCCACCTTGTCGCAGCGGCCCACTACGGCGTCCAGCACGGCGTCCCAAGCCTGCACGAGCCAGGAAGTAGTCGATCGTCGACGCGTTTTCCAGCTGCGGGCGGCACGTGGTCTGCTTGGGCACAGCCCAGATGGCCCAGATGCCGTTGGCCTCCTCGCCCCACTGAGGCTCAAGCAGCTCCCGCGCCATGTTGAAATCGCCTCCGACGACCCAGTCGTAGCCCGCGGCGTTGAGCTGCACCAGGTAGAACACCAATGTGAACAGGGCCCCCTGGTTGACGACGCCGAACCCAGCGCTGCCGACCAGGTGGACAGAAATCATCACCAGTCCTCCGCGCGCGCCCCAGCGCACACGCGCGCGGCCGAAGAATAAGGATCCGTCGTTAAGGAAATCGGAAAGGAGGAAAAGGAGGAGGAGGAATAGGTCTGGCACATCCAAGGTTCGCCTGCCCAGCGGCCCACGATGCAACGGCAGCGCCACTTTGTTAACCGGAAGGGCCGTCGGGGCATCGAAAACCACAGAAAAAGGGAGAGGAGTCGACCCTGGCGCCCTCGACCAGAGCGGATACAGCGGGGGCCCATGCCCAGAAGCACCCTGCTTGCCTCCAGGGTGCCCTGGGTCGCTCACGTCGGCCTACCGCACAATGTCAAAATCGAGCAACCCCACTGGCTGGCCTGCTGTCACAAGCACGCTCGCATAGATACCGCAGGCGGAGCGCCCAGCCCGCTGTTCTGGACTGGCAGCGCGGCACCACACTAAGGAGGAGGAGGAGGAGGAGGAGGAGGAGGAGGAGGAGGAGGAGGACGAGGAGGAGGAGGAGGAGGAGGGCGAAACACAAGGCGAGCAGACGCGAACATGAAGAAGGAGAGGGGGACGGCAAAAGCAGCAGCAAGCAAGCACGTTGGGGGCGGGCGGGGGGCGGGGGAAGGGGCGAAGGTCGGCGGCGGCGGTCGGGGGGTCGTCGCGGGTCGTCGCGGGACTGGTGGTCGTCGCGAGTCGCCGGGTGACGGGCGGTCATCGCGGGCTGGGGGGGGCGGCGTGGCGGCCGTTCACGCGGCGCCCGCCACCTGCGCCGCTGTCGCCGCGGCCAGCCTGCCCGCGGGCGCTCCGCGTGGCGCCTGCTAGCGGCGGAGCACGGCACGCGCACTCTTCTTGTGAAGGAGTAGCGAGAGTCGCTGGGCGTGCTCCGCCGCCGCCTGCGCAGGGTCTTCCACAGCGGCGTCCGCCGCGCGCTTCGCCAGGGCGGCCAACGCGAGCCGCGCCTCCTTCCCCCATGCTTCACCGTGCGCCTCCATCACCGTCGGAAGGTGATGTCTGCCGCGCGGCAGCTGCGCGCCGCGTCGAGAAACTGGCACTTCTGCTACTCGTAGAGCTCGGCGGCGGCGGAGCACGCCCAGCCGGAGGCAGCTAGAATATCCCCCCGCAGCCCGGAGGCGCCCGCGAAGTCCAAAGCGGCCGGGACGCCGCTGCGCCAACGGAGGATGTACACGTCTGCTGGGCGCCAGGCGCCCTCGTCGAGCCCACCGCCGTTTTCCTCCGTCTCGGGGGCGGGGCTCTCGCCTCGCAGGCGGGGCTGCATCAAGCCCGGTCGCTCGAGCTCAGCGCCGCGGAAGCCTGCGGCCTGCGCGGCGAAGGAAACCTGGTCGCGCAAGGCATTGCGCCGCTTCGCGCGGTCTCCGCGGCAGGGGCACACCAGCGCGTGGTCCCCGTAGACGTCGAGGACGCCGTCGCGGGCTGGGCAGAAAGCCTCCTCGTCCGCCAACTGCACCCGCAGCCGCCTCTGCAAGGCGACCTGCATTAGGCCGCGCGGGAAGTCCGTGCCGACCTCGGCGCAAGGACGCGCCTGCAGCCAGCCGCAAGCGTCCTCCGCGCTGACCAGCGAAAGGTGGGCCCTGGTGGTGAGGCTGGCGCGTTCCCAGAGTTCGGCCTTGGCGGCTTCGTCTAATTTGTCAGAAAAACCGCGCTGGTCGCCGAGCTGGCCTGCGTCGAACTCGATCCTCCCCGCCTGCGGTAGCTGGGCGTTATAGGACGCCACGGCAGCGCCTAGCGCCGTCGGCGCCAGTGTCGTCGTCGGAGTAGCTAGCCCAAAGCTGCCGGCAGAGCGCAGAGCAGGCCGCGCGGGAAGCTAGGTAGGCGGCGGGTGCGTGGCGTTCCGTTGAGCTCAGCCCCAGGCCGCCTGCCTTGAGGGCGAGTTGCGCTTGAGCTCAAGAGTCGTCCGTCGGGGAGCTGCTGCTCACAAGCTCCAGACTGGCCCAGATTGCCTTGTCGAGAGCAATCAGCGTTTCTGTGTGCACGCTGGGCGGAACAACCAGCGCTGAGTAGTTCAGCCTGCAGAAGCCGGCGCAGTGTCGCAGCAGGTGGAGCGCGACTTGGACGTTCTGCAGAGCGCCGAACGCGTCGAGGAGCTCGGTGGCCTTGTCGATTCGCTGCTGGGTGTGCTCGCGGCAGAGGGCGTCATTGCCGATCGGCGCGCCCAGGAGTTCGCAGCACCATGCGGCAGCCAGGAGGGAAGGCCTGCAAGTTCACCTCGCTGTCGTAGCCGACAGCGGGGGCCACCTCGCCGCCAGCGGGGGCGAGCTGGTGGACCAGGCGCGCCACAGCTTGCCAGTCGCCTGCCAGGGTGCCGTCGTCGAGGAAGAGGAAAGTCAGGTCCAAGGCGCCCTCGGCCGCGGGGGCGGGCTGGCGGATGGCTCTCTCCGCAGCGCGCTGCAACGCCAGGGAGAAGAGCAGCGGTCCGAGAGGGTCCCCCCAGAGGGCCAAGAGCGCCCGCCTCTCGAAGAGGCACAGCTGCAGGAGCACCATCTGGCAGGTTCTGGAAACCTTTCTTTTAATCGGCAGCGCGGACCGCGCCAGGGGCGCGCAAGGGCGGATGGAGAAGCAGAGGGCGGCCGCGGAGGCGGAGGGAGGAGGTGGGCCTGGCCGTCGAAAATTGACGAGAGGACGGGCGAAGGTTCTGGAAACCCGGAACCCATGAAGAATTCAATTTGTAATCTGTTGGGGGGGCTGGTCTTGCTCCCGCCGAGCTTCCCGTCTTTCGCCGCCTGTTATACCTCCGCCGGCCTCCCGCCAAGGACGAGGTGTCAACCCATTCGATCCTCGAAGGCGAGTGCGCCCCATTGACACAACACCTTTCAGCAAAACGCCCTTTACTGACAGCTGCCGGGGGCACTCCGCATGTGCGCGCGCCACCGCGATCCGAGCGCATCAAGGCAGAAAAACCAACCGACGTCCCAAAACAACCGAACGTATCCGGTAAGAGACACGTCGATTGGCGAAACCGACCGGGGATTGCACCAGCACGCTCGAATACCAATGTCGAATGAACTGGTGCAGATTTTGTCGGTAGACTTGTCTGGGTGGGCGCTCTCTCCATGCCCGACCATCCCAGGGCCTTGGAAAACCTCCGGAGAGCACGGCAGAATCTCGGACAACCCATAAGGCAAACAGGCCTCCTCCTCGACGACATCGACGACGAGTCGCCGCCGATTTGGCACGACCGAGGTGGGGATGGAGAAAATGGGCGCGAGGCCCGACAGCACGCTTTTGCCCCGAGCCGACGGAGCGGCACCGGCGCGAGCTGCGTGCAGACTGGAGGAGGAGGAGGGAGAGGAGAAGGACGAGGAGGAGGGGGAGGAGTAGGGGGAGAAGGAGGAGGAGGAAAAGGAGGAGGAGGAGCGAGCGTCCCTGGCGAACGCTCGCTCCTCCTCCGTGAGAATTGGAACGATACAGAGAATATTACTTACGCAGGACGAAAGATTTTCCTCTTGAGGTGAAAATGGCCATGAGGAGTTCGCGAGACAACGTCGGCGCCGCCGAACGGACGGCGACCAGACGAGCTGTTTGCAGCAACTGGGGGGGGGGATGTATGTATGTATTCATGTTGAATGGGGCCCGCTCGCGCGGGGAGTTGATTGGAGTGCGCGAGACGACGCAGGGTCCATCGTGGAAAATTGATGACCGAACCGCCCATCCCCTATAGAATCTTAACACGGGCGGTTTGCGGGGTCCGCGGATCCGATTTCTTCCGGCTCCCTGGTTTAATTTAATATTATAAATTTAAAACAGGGTGGAAATCGGATCCGCCGTAAAAAAAAAACGGACACGGATCCAGCGAATCCGAAATCGGATCCGCACGGACGGAAATCGGATCCACCGAAACAAACACCAAAACCACATTTGGATCCGCGCGAGCTTCATGATATCCGACGGCGGTTATCTCATACGGGTCTGCTCCAGACTTCACACCGTCGTTCTGGGCCCAAGAGGAAAAAACTTTCGTCCTGGGGATGAGCGTTTTGGCCCTCGGACTCGTTGGTTACCACATAGCCGACACACCACATCTCACACGCAATCCGTTGTTGGCTACCACACAGCCGACACCACATCTCACAGGCAATCCGTTGGGTGAGGAGACGCAGGGCCGAAACGCAGCGTTTTGGCCTTCGGATTCGTTGGTTACCACATAGCCGACACACCACATCTCACACGCAATCCGTTGGTTACCACACAGCCGACACCACATCTCACAGGCAATCCGTTGGGTGAGGAGACGCAGGGCCGAAACGCATGAGCGTTTTGGCCTTCGGACTCGTTGGTTACCACATAGCCGACACACCACATCTCACACGCAATCCGTTGTTGGCTACCACACAGCCGACACCACATCTCACAGGCAATCCGTTGGGTGAGGAGACGCAGGGCCGAAACGCACTAGCGTTTTGGCCTTCGGACTTGTTGCATACCACCGACATTCCACATCTCACACGCAATCCGTTGTTGGTTACCACACAGCCGACACCACATCTCACAGGCAATCCGTTGGGTGAGGAGACGCAAGGCCGAAACGCAGCGTTTGGCCTTCGGACTCGTTGGTTACCACATAGCCGACACACCACATCTCACACGCAATCCGTTGTTGGTTACCACACAGCCGACACCACATCTCAAAGGCAATCCGTTGGGTGAGGAGACGCAGGGCCGAAACGCACTTACGCAGGACGAAAGATGTTCCTCTTGAGGTGAAAACGGCCATGAGGAGTTCGCGAGACAACGTCGGCGCAGCCGAACGGACGGCGACCAGACAAGCTGTTTGCAGCAACTTGGGGGGGGGGATGTATGTATGTATTCATGTTGAATGGGGCCCGCTCGCGCGGGGAGTTGATGGGAGTGCGCGAGACGACGCAGGGTCCATCGTGGAAAATTGATGACCGAACCCCCCATCCCCCATAGAATCTAAACACGGGCGGTTTGCGGGGTCCGCGGATCCGATTTCTTCCGGCTCCCTGGTTTAATACTATAAATTTATAACAGGTAAAAAAAAAAAAAAAAAAAAAAACAAAAAAAAAAAAAAAAAAAAAAAAAAAAAAAAAAAAAAAAAAAAAAAAAAAAAAAAAAAAAAAAAAAAAAAACACGGACACGGACCCAGCGAATCCGAAATCGGATCCGCACGGACGGAAATCGGATCCACCGAAACAACACCAAAACCACATTTGGATCCGCGCGAGTTTCATGAGATCCGACGGCGGTTATCTCATACGGGTCTGCTCCAGACTTCACACCGTCGTTCCGGGCCCAAAAGGAAAAAACTTTCGTCCTGGGGATGAGCGTTTTGGCCCTCGGACTCGTTGGTTACCACATAGCCGACACACCACATCTCACACGCAATCCGTTGTTGGCTACCACACAGCCGACACCACATCTCACAGGCAATCCGTTGGGTGAGAGACGCAGGGCCGAAACGCAGCGTTTTGGCCTTCGGATTCGTTGGTTACCACATAGCCGACACACCACATCTCACACGCATCCGTTGGTTACCACACAGCCGACACCACATCACAGGCAATCCGTTGGGTGAGGAGACGCAGGGCCGAAACGCATGAGCGTTTTGGCCTTCGGACTCGTTGGTTACCACATAGCCGACACACCACATCTCACACGCAATCCGTTGTTGGCTACCACACAGCCGACACCACATCTCACAGGCAATCCGTTGGGTGAGGAGACGCAGGGCCGAAACGCACTAGCGTTTTGGCCCTCGGACTTGTTGCATACCACATAGCCGACACACCACATCTCACACGCAATCCGTTGTTGGTTACCACACAGCCGACACCACATCTCACAGGCAATCCGTTGGGTGATGAGACGCAGGGCCGAAACGTTTTGGCCTTCGGATTCGTTGGTTACCACATAGCCGACACACCACATCTCACACGCAATCCGTTGGTTACCACACAGCCGACACCACATCTCACAGGCAATCCGTTGGGTGAGGAGACGCAGGGCCGAAACGCATGAGCGTGTTGGCCTTCGGACTCGTTGGTTACCACATAGCCGACACACCACATCTCACACGCAATCCGTTGTTGGCTACCACACAGCCGACACCACATCTCACAGGCAATCCGTTGGGTGAGGAGACGCAAGGCCGAAACGCACTAGCGTTTTGGCCTTCGGACTTGTTGCATACCACATAGCAGACACACCACATCTCACACGCAATCCGTTGTTGGTTACCACACAGCCGACACCACATCTCAAAGGCAATCCGTTGGGTGAGGAGAGGCAGGGCCGAAACGCACTTACGCAGGACGAAAGATTTTCCTCTTGAGGTGAAAATGGCCATGAGGAGTTCGCGAGACAACGTCGGCGCCGCCGAACGGACGGCGACCAGACGAGCTGTTTGCAGCAACTGGGGGGGGGGAATGTATGTATGTATTCATGTTGAATGGAGCCCGCTCGCGCGGGGAGTTGATGGGAGTGCGCGAGACGACGCAGGGCCCATCGTGGAAAATTGATGACCGAACCCCCCATCCCCCATAGAATCTTAACACGGGCGGTTTGCGGGGTCCGCGGATCCGATTTCTTCCGGCTCCCTGGTTTAATACTATAAATTTTAAACAGGGTAGAAATCGGATCCGCCGTAAAAAAAAAAAAAAAAAAAAAAACGGACACGGATCCAGCGAATCCGAAATCGGATCCGTACGGACGGAAATCGGATCCACCGAAACAAACACCAAAACCACATTTGGATCCGCGAGAGCTTCATGAGATCCGACGGCGGTTATCTCATACGGGTCTGCTCCAGACTTCACACCGTCGTTCTGGGCCCAAGAGGAAAAAACTTTCGTCCTGGGGATGTAGCATTGCCCCTGCGCAAGTCTGACACACACAAATCGAGAAACGTATACAATTGTTCGGATTCCCTTCGGGGATCATCCGTTAACATTGGAACGATGCAGAGAAGATTAGCATGGTCCCTGAAGTGTATAAGAGGAGGAGGAGGAGGAGGAGGAGGAGAAGAAGGAGGAGGAGGGGGAGGAAATGGAGGAGGCCGGATCTGCCGTCAGCCCTCGTTCGACGACTCCGACGGGTGTGTTCTGCAGAGGGTGCGCCTCGCAACCCGCGCCCTTGGGGAGCGGGCGAGGACCTGGACAGAGACCTCTGCCGCGCTCCGACGAGGGCTCGCCAAATGCGTGGCGCAACGTGGGGACCTCCTCAACTAGGAGAACGAAGAATGACATAAGCATAAAAACTCTGAGGTCCGCGCGGACCTCCGAGTTTGTATGTTTATGTCATTCTTCGTTCCCCTACAAGCCCCGACCGCGCCGATCGCAGACCACACCCTGGCGTAACCCCGCCCGTTGTCGTCGCCAGGTCGTCGCCGTGCTTTCAGTGCCCACCTCGACCCTCCCGGTGCAGTTGGCCGGGCTCGGGTGCGCCAGGAGAGGGGGCCAGGCACAGGGGGCTTGGCGCATCACAGCCCGAGGCATGCGCGCGCGGGCGAAGGGGGGAGGCCCGGGGACGTATTGGAAGAAGACGAAGAAGAAGACAAAGCAGAAGAAGAAGAAGAACAACAACAATAAGGAGAAGAGGAAGAGGAAGAGGAAGAAGATGAATAAGAAAAATAAGAAGACGAAGAAGAAGAAGAAGAGGAAGACGAACCGCCGGTAAAACGTAAAAGCTGCCTTGGCTGCAAAGCCGCTAGACGTCATGGTTTGCTGGAGAAGTCCGTGCCCGCCGTCGATGCAGACTGCCAGTCGGACTCTCGCCAACGGGCTGCGGGTCCCCGGTGCAGTGCCCCTCCAGCGCGGCGGACTGCGCCCCTCCGCTCCGAGCGTGCCGCGGGGCCTTCATGACGTCGGACAATCTTGCCTTCACCGTCCACTCGTTGGCGTCCTCAACGCCGACGTTGTGGTCCATGCTGAGCGCGACGGTGGCTTTGAAGCCATAGCTCAGTTGACCCGTGCTTTTGCGGGCCTGCTTCAGGCGAACGCCCCTGCACATCTGCGAGGAAGCGAAGTCCCCGCTGTGATACCCTGCGCTGAAGACTGCTTGCGCCCGCAAGATGAAGTCCTCTGGCTTGACAAACAGGTCCAGCAACCTGAACCCACTCTCGGGCAGCCCGACAAACGAGGCGAAGCGGGGGCAGCACGCGGTGACGGGGTAGCCGTCCTCGAGCACCTTGAAATACACGTCTATCTCCTCGGGCAAGTCGAGCTCATCCGAGACCTCCTCAATACTTGCAACGGAGGCTGGCCTCTTCGAGAGCGTCCTGAATTGCATGTGCATCTTCTCGCTCTTGCCGCGTTTCCTGACCACCTTGGTGTCGTACAGCTCCATTTTGGCCGTCCACAGATGCACGGCCGCGTCGGCGTCGTTGTGGAGCAGCGAGAGCACGGCCTCGGCGCTGAGCTCCCTATGGAGCCGATGCAGGTGCGGCGGCCTGAGCCTCACCTGTACGGATCGCTCCGTGTTCAGGTCCCGCCCCTTGCGCAGGGCGCTCTCACACAGCTCCTGCACGCGCTCGGCGAAGCTGTCTGCGCTGACCATCCACTCCATCAGCCTCGTCCCCAGCGCCGACGGCCCGCTTAGCACGGTGAAGCCTGCGGAGCACTTCTCCACCGGGTGGCCGGCCTCGAACAGCCTGAAATACACGGCCAGGTCCATGGTGTCGCTCTCCAGCTGAAGCGTCCTGACGCTCTCCCCGTCGGAGGGCGAGTGCTCCGCGAGCGGATCGGAGCACGCGGGGGTGGCGTGCGGAACATCTTCTGGAACATCCTTCGACGGGGGGGGCATCCGAAACGACTCCGCATCCTCCCGCACGCCCACCACGTGGAAGATCTGGTCGTCGAAGTCCTTGCCGCATATGTGGAACAGCTGGACCGTCACCTCGACACCGTTGGAATCCTTCATGGACGAGTGAAGCATGTCAGCGCCTGGGATGTCGCGGAGGAGGAACCCCCGCACACGCTCGGACTCCTCGCTGCAGGAGAAGAGGTCGAGGAAAGAGACATTCCTCATCCCGCCGCAGGAGAAAGGCCGGAGAAGCAGCGCGGCGAGGTGGGGCGACGGCTGCGTCATCCGCAGGTCCTCTCCCAAATGCACCACCGCGTCGCAAAGCTGGCTCAGCAGCCCATCCGCCGCGACCTCCACACTGTGGGACATCCTAGCCTCCAGCACGGCTTTGAACTGCGCGTAGCGCGCGCAGTCTATGGCGTACACGACGAAGAATATGACGGCGCAGGTGTAGAGATGGTAAGTAAGGTGCCACCCAGCGGTGTAATGGCAGCAGACAACCGTGGATAGCAACACGTTCAAGCATGTGGTCATAGGAACTTCGCCGAGCATGATGCTAGCCCCAAGGCGAACCGGCGCTGTGACGGCCATCCAAGCAGCGATGTCCGCCGTGCCCTGCATGTGCGCCTCACAAGCAAGGCGCACGTACACCAGAGCCATTCCCAAACGGATGCAGCTGGGATTTTGAAGGCGCGGGAAGGCAAGCCAGAGAATCGCAACGAACTGCCTAAATACCAGTACCATCGACAGACTCCTCAGCTGCGTCGTGTCTACTTCGGAGGGTACCCCGCACCAAGACCAAACGAATACGGCCCAGAGGCGGTTACGAACGAAATGGTCGAGCAATAGAAATGTATTCAATCCTGCTACAAAAGGAAGCAATGCTCGGAAGAGGTCAACCCGTGATATGACGACCATCTGCTTTATCTTCTGGTCCAATGGGTCTGTGTCAGAATGCATGAGCAAAGTTTTCAGCATCCTGCGCGGGTGCTCAACATTCTTGCACACAGCGCAGATGCTCCCCTTGGGCAGTGAGCAAGCAATGAAGTAGCATGCGCAAGCAGACTGCACCGCTGCCAAAACCGATAGAACCTGGAGAATTAATAAGGCGACAGGCATGTAGGGCGCTGGCAAAGGAAAAAAAATGCCCTTTGGGCACGCAGCCAGCCAAGCCTTGACCTGGTGACCTGAGCCAACAGATCTGCGGAAGAAGAAGAAGAAGGAGGGCAGAAAAGGAATGCTAAGAAAAGAAGAAGAAGAAGAAGAAGCGGAGGTGGATGACATCTGGGAAACCCCATCACCCCAGCCATGATATCGGCGCCCCTCTCTTCGACGCCCGGTGATTCTCGGGTCATACCTCGGGCCCCCGACACCCTTCGGGACGACACGGGCACCCCTGCCATGCTCTCGACGAGGCGCAGCTGCTGGAAAAGCACCCCGAGGCGAGAAGGCCCTCGAGAACCAACGAAAACTCCCCCCCCCCGTCGACGGCGATATCTCCTCTCCCCCGCCTTCAGAGGCCTCCCAAGTGGGGTCCGAGTAGGTGGGGTCGGAGGATCGCGCCGCATCGCCGATGCATCGCCGATGCACTAGCGATGCACTAGCGAGGCATCGACGACGTCGGCGATGATCGGCCACGTCGGCAAAAAGAAAATCGAGCTCCACATTATGCCGCATCACCGATGTGTCGGCGATGCGGCGCGACCCTCCGACCCCTTCTGCTCGGACCCCATCTGGGAAGCCTAGAGCCTTGTCCTCACCATCCTCACCATCCTCGTGGACGCCCTTGACCCGAATGACTGGCCACCCGACAGAAAAAACGAGGCCCACCACCGACGAGGACACTCCAGATTGGCCCGCGCGGCGCCGGGGCTCACGACGGGGAGGACGACGACGACGACGACGACGACGACGACGACGACGACGACGACGACGACGACGCCGCCCTCCTGTCTTGGACGCCTCTGGCCCGATCGACTTCGGGGGCGTCCAAAAGGGGGGTGTCCAAGACGGGGGTTCTGGCAGCATGCCCCGAGGCATGTGCGCGGACGAGGGGAGAGCTATGGGACGCATTCATGAGGGGTAACGATAGGGGGGGTCTGGCATAAGGGGGGGGGACGTATCGACCTGAAATCGGCGACACATCGTCGATACATCGGCGATAGCCCTCCAATCGCACAACCGCACCTTGCTGGGCGGGGTGGGGCTATCAGACCCGTGTCGGCGATCAATGGGCGATTGGGGGTCGATGCATCCCCCCCTATGCCTATCCCCCCCTGTCCTTGCCCCCGAAAGGAAACAAAGAGAGGGGGCCGTGAAATCCGGGGAGGTCTCGTGGCCACGGCCAGGCTATCCACCCTCCTCTGGCATCACCCCCCTCTTGGACGCCTCCGACGACTGACCCAGCGCGGCTTGGCGGCGCGCACAAGGAAGTAGGGAGAGGGGGGGGGGAGGCTTCTCAGAAGGAGGCTGCTTCTCAGAAGGCGCCGGCCGCACATCTACAGACAAGGCCCGCGCCTTCTGGGAAGCAGGGGTGCTTCTGACAAGCCTTCCCCCTCCCCCCACCCCACTCTGCGCGTGGCCGAGCGGCCTCCCCACCCCCGCCCCGGGCGGGCCTTGGCCTGAGCCCGCGGGTCCGCCCGGGCCGCCCGGCGGGCCGGCGGGGAGGGCCTGCACAAGGGCATAGGAGGGGGGGGGCCCGCAGCGCGCCGGAGGGCTCGGTGGCGTGCCCCCTCGTTGTGGTCGTCGCCGCCGTGGTCGTCGCCGTCATCGTTGTCGCGGTCGTGGTCGTGGCCGTCGTCGCGGCTGGTCGTCGTGGTCGTGGTCGTGGTCGTGGTCGTGGTCGTGGTCGTCGTCGTGGCCGTGGTGGCGGTGGTCGTCGTCATCGTGGTCGTGGTCTCGGCCGTGGTCGTCGTCGCCGTCGTTGTCGTGATCGTGGTCATCGTGGTCGTTCGTGACCGTGGCCGTCATCGTCGTCATCGTCGCGATTCTGGTGACCGTGGTGGGGATAGAGGGAGGATGGAGAAGGAGGGAGGGGAGAAGAGGAGGAGATGGGGGAATGAATAAGGAGGGGCAGGGCGGGAGGAGATGGGGGCGGAGGAGAATGAGGAATGAGGATTCGGAGGTCTGCGAGGAGAGAGCAGGGAAGGAGGAGGCCGCGGAGGACAACGAGGAATAATTGATTGATTGAGTGATGATAGTGGTGATGATGATGGTGATGATGATGGCGATGATGATGAATTGAGTGTTGGGAACTCACGATTGCTGATGCCGACGATGATAACACTGATGCTGAGAATGGTAATGATGCTGATGATGCTGATGTTGATGTTGATGATGATGATGATGATGATGATGATGGTGATGATGATGATGATGATGATGCTGATGATGATGATGATGATGATAATGATGATGATGATGATGATGATGATGATGATGATGATGATGATGATGATGGTAATGATGAGGAGGATGATGGTGGTGACGATGATGACGATGATGACAACTACGACAATTACGATGATGATGATGATGATGCTGATGATGATGGTGAAGATGATAATGGTGATGATGATGATGATGATGATACTGATGATGATGATGAGTGGTGATTGGTGTTGATGGTGGTGATGACGACAACGATGATGCTGGTGTTGATGATGACGATGATGATGATGATGATGATGATGATGATGCTACGACTGATGATGAGGTGGTGATGGTGATGATGTGTGATGATGTGTGATGATGGTGATGGTGATGATGGTAATGGTGGTGTTGCTGC